CAAAACTTTTTTTTTTTTTTTTCATTCTCTTTTGGGTTGCAGGAGTCAATTTGCTAATGTACTCCAGCTACTGTCTACTATCTGCAGCTGCTGTTCTATCACAGATAGTGACTGGGTTGGAATGTGTGACCGGTGACGTGGTCACACATTTTAACGTAATCTCGTCCAGTTTTGTGTGACCGCTCAAGCATTCCAACGCTTTGTCAGCTGTTCCAGGGTAGATCGACATCGCAGATCGTATGTGCAGGAGAACTGTTCTGCCCTGAAACAGATGATCGGTCCTGAAATGTCACTTCTATTCGACTTTGTGAGTGCGATCTCACATTCCACGGCACTCACAAAGTCGGATAGAAGTGACATTTGGGGACCAATCAGCTGTTCCAGGGCAGATCGGTTCTCTTGCACATACGATCTGCGATGCCGATCTACCCTGAAACAGCTGAGAACGCGTTCGAATGCTTGACCTAATGAGCGGTCACACATTCCACCGCCGAAAAACTGGGTGGGATTACATTAAAATGTGCGAACACGTGACCGGTCACACATTCCAACCTAGTCACAAACTTTGAAACACCGGGAAGGATCTCAACAATATTATTGGGATCTGACCGGCTACTTGACTGACAGCTGATTTTGCCTCTCTAGAGCCAAAGCCAGCTGTGCCCGCCTCCTCCCCTGTCTGTCCCCCCAATAAGTGCTGAAGCAACAGAGATGGGGAAGGGAAATCCCTGCAGGGAGTGGTGACTGACAGTCACTGATCTCTAAAGAAATACGATGTGAGCCGAGTGATCAGTGGTTACATGACGGTTTTTAAATGAGAACATTTCCACAAGTGTTCCATTATCTTGGTGCACATGATCAGACTTTTATAGGAATTGTCACATACTATTTTTAATGTGATTTGACATAGCTGGTGCACAGAAAACGTGTCAATATGTGACGTATTCCCCTTTGTTAACTGGCGCACCAGGTTCCATACTTGCTATGCCATGCTTGGCTGTGTATCATAGCACTCTGGGCAGTGTGCATTCGTCTCCTATGTTTAAGGCGCTGCCATTAATATACAGCATGCATCTGCCATGCAAAGCCTGTTAATGGGCCACAACTGTAGAAAAGTGTGGCTGTCACACAACAACAATGCCCACCACAAATGTAAACAGGGCCTGCATTGCATTCCTCACCACAGCTGCTTCTGATCAATGTGAACACGTTTCATAACATTCCAATGAATCAGATTACAGGGAAATGATGTGCCCAGCAAAGCTCATCCATAATTCAGCCATCACACATCATATGGGAGTAACAGTCCCAGCACCAGGAGTGTGAGCATCGTCCACCACCCTAGCAGGAGGCACTGCCACATCACGTGAGGCACGGCCATCACGTGTTCTCACCTGCTCTATATATTGCCGCACTCTCTTTCGTAAACGATCCAAGTTCATGTTTGTTGTTGTTGGGTGACGTGACTAGAGGGAGGCGCGCCCACAAGCAGGGTGCGCGCCTCCGGAACTGCCGAACGTGAAGTTCAGTGGTGTGCACCGGCGATAGCTTCACCCAATCGATGTGTAACACCGACTTCGAAACCCCATACAAGCCGGTGTGCCGCAGTATCAGCTGCAACGGTCCTCTAGGAGGAGGAGTGTTACATACATCGCTTACCGCCCGGAAACTCACTCCGGCGTTTACTGGTTCCGGATGTCAACCAGTAAATAGTATGTCTGCTGTCATTCTCGGTGGACTTGTGAAGCTTACAGTTTTTCTGTTCCTTTTACGTTTATAATGATTTATATTCTGGAAATAACAGCATCAAAATGCGCTTTGTTGCATTTGTTATGGCAGTTGTCAATTTAAAATATTAAAGTCAAAATGTTTGTAAGCAATTTAAAATGCTAATTTAATCACTTCCAATGGTTAATGCCCCTTGATGTTTAAAAGTTTTATTTTTCTGCAGAATCAGCTGGTCCCCTGAGCACTGGTGCTAATATCCTGCTTAGGTGGCTCCTTTACCTTGCAGAGCCCTATGGAGCCACACTTGTATGTGCAAGTAAGCTGTGCCTGTCTCCACAAACATGCAAGCTGCTCTCTCCTCCTTCCTTCTCCCTAAATGGACAGCTGCTGGAGATGGTGCTGTCCTGATCTTGTACTGGACAGGATGTTCAGGGAAGTGGAGCTGAGAGATTTGGAGCCAGCTGTTCTGAAGCATGATGACTGTAAGTCTACATTCACACCCATATGTTTAGGTGGGATTAGGGATTCCTGCTTCAGGAACTTACGATTTCCTGCAGAATGCTGCCGTTTACAAGTGGCAGCTGTCATGTTAATGATCAGGTGGCAGCTGCTGCATTTGAATACCAGCAGACCACATGTTGTGATATGATTACGTGTGGTTAGGAATCAATCACTCTCCATGGACACATGAGTGATGCGCCCAGGGAGAGTGATTGATTCCTAACCGCATGTACCCACACTATTGCAAAAAAGGAGAATATTTGTGTAAGGTAAGAAATGTAATTTCTAAAGCTGCTGAAAAGTTTCTGCCCAGAGTTCAGGTTTAAATGCTCTGCCAAGGTCATTCAATCATCAATAGTTTGATATGTTTACTAGAGAGTCAAAACAAACCAACAGGTTTGTATCCATAGCTAAGTAGTTCTCCATCTGTTATCCCTTCCCCAAGGATTTGGTTAGGATGTGGGCAGCACCATCCTTGGTGGACTCCCCAGTATCTTAACAAGGCTATGAGATTGACAGACACAGCTGGTCTGCTTTCTGGCCAGTCTTCTCCTGTACCCTAGTTTGCCAGGCAATGACCAAAAGGGCTAGAATCCAGCATCAATAACTAGCTTCTAAAGCAGCGGTCGCCAACCGGTGGTCCGCGAGAAAATTTTGGTGGTCCGTAATTGCCCCCGGGCCCCTCTGAGGCCGTGCAGGCTGGGCCGTCATTGAAGCAGCACGGAGGCTCCGGGTCTGTCTCTCCCTGGCTCAAGCAGCGGCTGTCACAAGGAATGCGCGACTCTCATTACAGTGCAGGCTCTGCAGGAGGCGGGGCATCTCGTCTGTACCCGGACTGAGCAGGCTGCAGGACACGGACAAAGTGGGGAGAAGCCAGGTAATATTAGCACAGTGTGGGGGAAGGGGAGCCACAGGGGTGGTTGGGGGCAGCTGAAGCAAGGGGGGGCATGTACCCCGGGCGCCACCGGCAGGGCCAGTGGCAGATTCGATAGGTTGGCGACCGCTGTTCTAAAGGGTTCTCCCCAGCAGCTGATTGATTTATCAAATCAGTTGGTTCAGGCAATAAAATATACCTATGACACCTCTCTAGGGGGAAGTTTGATTGTGAGTGTATTCTTTAGATTGAGGTTGCTTTAGCTAGAATGTTGGCCTGTGGTTCACACATACAAGAGAGCTCTGGTCCAGCTACCTTTCACAGGGTAAGTGTTATTCTGAGTTTCTATTGATACGATAATCAAATGTGCTGTGTTTAGGAAACAAGAAATCGCCATTCCCAGACCCACAAGCCGAAGCCTTACAGGGCTTCCAAAAGGCCCATGCTAAATCCTCCCATTCTACAACGTCAAACCTGAAACTCGACAGAGATAGATCTGAACCGCCAAGTCTTTCAACAAACCTTCATCAGCATGAAAGTCTGCCCCCACCTGTAGACAACAGGGTGGGAAGACATTTGTTAACAGTTTTTGTGGCTGTACAACAATTCTGATACATGCATGAGGGAAGTAGTATCCACAAAATACAATATAAGATTTACACCCACTGAACCTAATTATGGAAATGATTTTTGCACTTGCTGACCAGCAGTGTAAGGGACACTGCTATCTACTTCTAACCACTGTACTCTGGAAGCATCAATTTGAATAAAGGGGCTACAGTCTGTGAATGGTTTCTATATATTATTGCATCTTTCATTTTTTAACAACTCCCCACCCCTTCTCAAATCTCTCTGGTTCTTGACAGAGTGATACAGCATTGTTGATATTGGTGGTACAAGGGCTTGTTGCCCAGAGAGCAGGGGTTCCTGTGCCCTCTTGGAAATCGTACTGGGATTTTTAATCAAACCTATTCTCGGTACCTGAGCCACATGGACCTGCTTGTCTCATCCTGGACCTCAAGGTGTTCAATGGTTTTGTCCATACTGGAAAATTGTGAATGCAATCAGTTTGTTCTGTGGTGGCCTCCCTGCATCAGGGAGCTTTTCTGGCCTCGGTGGATCTCTATGGCCATGAAGATACCTATGTCTTTTTCCCCCATTTCCTTTCTTTGTCTTGAGGCATTTATTGCAGTCTACACTAATATTAAAGGAAACATGGAAAATACTATTGCTGACCTCTACTTCTGAAAATGCCAGTTTCCTGGTTGTCATGCTGCCCCTCAGTACATTGAGTTCCATCTTACACTGTTTTAAAAACACAATCAGGAATACCTGTTTTACTAAACAAACCTTAGAAAAACAGATGTGGGATGAAGGGTGTCAGTGGCATGGAGCTCTACTGTGAGGTTTATTAGAAAAGCCACACATAAGTGGCAGACTGGACAGCTGGCATCTTTATTGGTAAAGCCATGCTGGCCACCAAGTTTTTAGCTCAGGTACTATCAATGCAAGTACAAAACGTCCAGCAAATAAGCTGTATATTACTTATACCTGGTTACCCATCTTGGGTCAAAATATCCTAATTATTAGTATAGTGCAAGTGAGCAGAAATAATATGGAAAGGTTTCTCATGTTTGCTTTAAAGTCCAACTCCGGGCTCTGTTCCCAGTGCTCCACCCCCCCCCCCCATTTATTTTCTGCTATTTCTTTATATTTACCTTTTTACGAAGTCATGGTGACATGCAGGGTCCTCTTCCTCTTTGGATCTTCTCTAGGCAGTAAGTGGTCCTCAATGTTGCAGAAAGAGGTGCTGGCTTGACAGCATCAGGACTGCTCTCTGCGTCATTGCATTGTGAGTGCAGGGTGACATGGTGACAACCTCTTTTGGGTTGAAAGATTCTGGGTGTCATTCTACACAGAGTACTGAGGACATCTTATGGCAGAATAGGATTACTGTGGGGGGAGGAGGGGGGGTGCCAGAGAGGAGGTGAGTATTGCAGCCAATACTGCTTTTTATTTTAAACACTAACTGGGGCTCCTGTTTTATAAAACAAATTGTCAGAGTTGGATTTAAACTACAAATAAAACTACAGTATTCCAAATGTAAACTTCAAATTTTACTTTGAAACATAGTTGCTATGTGGAAGCAGAGCCCCTGACTATCAACCAGTCAGATTACAGATATGCTCTGATGTTCATTTGAAGTCCAAGTGTGTATCTGGGGAGGGCTGGGCTGGGAAGGGGGCATTTGCCTCTGGGGCAGTACAAATAAGATGTGTTGTGTTTGCAGACCTGAGTGGATATACTTTGCCATTCCGACATTTATCAAAGCAGGACTCCCAGTCATTGCACTACATTGTATTACATAGCTGCATTCTCCCGTTCAGACCTGCAATCATTTGCCATTAGTAGGTGGAGTCGAGCATAATAGGAAATACATACATATTTCCTATGCTCCATGGCTCCATCTGGTGGCCATAATGCAGTATTCACCAACAATTCATTCTGCACAAGAAAACATTAGATTTTGTGCTATTGCCAAAGAACGAATGTAAATGTCAGTTTCTCAGAATGAATGACTCTACAAACGTTTTACAGATACATCCCTTGGTATTTATCACTGTTTACACTAAGAGACGATTTTCATAAAATACTTGTCCAACCCAATCTCTCCTCAGTCCTTCACAGTTACTCTTTATTATTTTTTGGTTATATATCCCATTCCGGATAGTGTATCCCACAACCTACTATTTACTATGTAAAGTTTACATGCGTCCTTAAATTAATTCATCTACTTAAATTCATTCCTTATTTCCTTCCATCCCCGTAAGTGCAGCTCACATTGTAATATACTTACATTTCTCACCAATTCAGTAATGTTCGCTGTGCGCCCTGCACAGTTCCACAAAAGCTTTGCAAAGAAAACCTCCAGCCAGCATCTCTTCATACCGCACATGCCCACCACGCTCCATTCGTATGGGTCAGCCATACTATTGGTGGCCTCCAGTTGTCCTGCTGAGTATGGCTCTTCCAATAGAATGAATAGGGCCACGGTTCACATGTGCAGTATGAAGAAGAACCAGCTCAAGGCTTTCTTTGAGAAAGCTGTTTGGTACCAGGCAGGCCTGTGTGAACATTGCTGGATCAGGTAGGAAGGTAAGTTACCAGGTGGACTGCACTTTGGAGGGTGGGGGGGGGAATTAATTATGCCACCCATATCCAGGGATGATTGTATTCAGAACACGTGCTTATTAATAATCTAGTCTGTATCTGAATTGTGGTCTTCATGGTGTGATTCCTCCTCCTCTTTTTTACTCTCATCTTCTTCTTCCTTCTCATCATCTTTCTCCTGGTCACTTTCAGAAGCTTCTGATCTATAGGATTTGTCTTCTTTGCCAGTGTCATAATAACTGCCTTCCTTTTCATCCTCCGGTGCAGTAGAAACCTTCTCTTCTTTGTCTCTTGCACTTGACTGATCTTCTCTCTCCAGCGTGTCCTCCTGGACCTCCTCTGGATTGCTTTCTGTTATAGGCTGGTTTGCCTCTT